CCCTAATTACTTCTCCTTACGTGTCTTTGGTTGTACTTGTTTTGTCTTGCTCTCCAGTATCCTACGTACCAAGCGTTCTGCTTGATCAGCCTTATGTGTATTTCTTCATTATGGTGAGGATAAAAAAAGGTATATTTGTTATGATCCTGTTGGTCACAAACTATGTCTCTCACCATGTTGTCTTTATGGAACATATTTCTTTCTTTTCGATTTCCTCTTGTTCTTCATCTATGCATAAGTCTAATTTTATATACATTGATCTCTTCCCAGTTGATGTTCTCAAGGATACATATGTTAGTTATATTATTGTGTTTGATTTGTTAGTTACGCACCCCCTATTGTGCATACTTATATTTGCAAGATTCTTGTTGTCTTTCCAACGAATGCAGTGCCTCCCTCTTCTACTTCTATCACTCAACCAGGTTCTGACATTGTGGATCATGCTTTGTGCTATCCTCAACACTTTCAAAAATGTCCAAATAGGTTTAGTTTCTCCAACTTTTGTTATTCTTCTGATTTTTGTGTCTTTCTCATTTCTATTCACTCTTTGTCTGTGTCCACCTCCTATAAAGAGGTTATACTTGCTCTCGTTTGGTAACAAGCTATGGATGTGGAGGTATCTACCTTACATAAGACATAAGCTTGGTGGTTAGTTCCTTTACCTCTTGGGAAATACACCGTTGGCTGTAAATGAGTTTATAGATCAAACCAAATCAGATGATACTGCGGAAAGATACAAGGCTCGGTTAGTAGCCAAGGGTAGGGGTGTCCATGGGCCTTACCCACGGGTCCCGTTACTCAGCCGAAAAAAAATAGGCCTGAAGTCTAATAGGCCCGATAGTTGGCCCGCCCGAGCCCGAGCCCGAGCCCAATGTCCTTAAAAAGAGGGCTTGAGTTTGCCCCCAAAACCATTACTCGGCCCGAAACCCGGCCCAAGAGCTCACCCGAAAGCCCAACCCACCTACCCTTCATTTGAAAAAAAGTTATACTTTTAGACCATTAAATTTAAAAATTTGAAATAAGTCTCTCAATATCGAAATTTGAAGTTTTAAAAATTTAGATATTATAAATAATATATTATTTTCTTTTTCATGTATTAAGCATATAAGTTTTAAATGGTAAAGTAATACAAATGATAGATAAGTTAGTAAGTGTCAACCTAATTAGAATTTATTCATTCTATTGGATGTAGTTTATTATTTTATTTTTATTCATTTTGACTTTATTTTTGATTCAAAAATATAATTTACACAAATATTAAGTTACAAAAATATTCATTATTTTTAAATAAAAATGTATATGAAAAAGCTTGCAAGCAGGCGCGCCCAACAAGCCCGCCCAATAGGCTCACGGGTTGGGCTGCGCGTAGCCCTACCCCTACCCGAAGTCCGGCCCAGCCCGCCCAATAATTCACCTGGGTAAGGGCTTGGACTTACACTACCCAGGCCCGGCCCGAAAAAAAATTTCGCGGGTCGGGCATAGACATTCCTAGCCTAGAGATTTACTTAGGAATATGAATTAGACTACAATGAGACTTTTGCCCTTGTTACCAAGATGGCCACTATTCGTATTGTGATTGCTGTAGGTGTCATTCGTCAATGGCACATGTCTCAACTTCATGTGAAAAATGAATTTTTTCATGGAGACTTATTAGAGAAGGTTTTTATGACTCCACTTCGATTGTCTCATAATCCTGGTCAATTATGCAGACTTCACAAGGTATTATATGGACTTAAACAGGCTCCTAAGGCATGGTTTGCCAAGTCCTTCTCGATCATTTGTGATTGGGGTTTCCATGCCAATGGTCACAACTTTGCTCTTTTTCTACGGTCAATTTCTTTGGTTTTATTGTTCTCCTACTTTATGTTGATAATATGATTATTATAGGTGATAATATTGTTGTCATTAACCTATTGAAAACTCAGTTGCAGGATCACTCTAATATTAAAGATTTGGGTCTGCTTTGATATTTCTTAGGGATTGAGGTTGTTTCTTCTCCCAAATGTTATCTTTTTCAATCCAAGTATGCATCGGATGCTATCCAACAAGCTCGTTTATCAGATAGTCGGACAGTTGAGACACCCTTAAAGCTCTATTTTCGGTATTCTTCCTCTGATGGTACTCCTGTGCCTAATCCTACCCACTACCACACTATTATTGGGAGTCTAGTATATCTTACAGTTACTCGCCCAGATATCTCTTATACAGTTTATATTGTGAGTCAGTGTGTTGCTTCATCAACCACTATTCACTGGGCTGTCGTTCTCTGTATTCTTCAGTATCTTCATGGTACTCTACATCAGAGTTTACTATTTTTTTTCAATACAAGTGCTATACAAATTGCTCACAACTCAGTCTTCCATGAGCGCACATAGCACATTGAGATTGATTGTCACTTTGTATACCAACATCTTCAGTTGGGCACTATTACTCTCCCTTTCTTCTTTCCACCATGAAGATAGCGAATTTTTTCACAAAATTTCACACTATAGCACGTTTGTGATTTTTTCTTGATGAACTCTTGATACTTTCCACCACATCATAAGTTTGAGGGCAGGAGTTAGAGTATTAATATTACAGATAGTTTGGGCATTTATTTTATTCTTTGTTGCCTTACTATATAAGGGCCAACATTGTGTATTTTAGGTTAAGTTGTTTTACGGACTTGTTTAACAATAATAATTTTTTTTTCTTTCTCCTCTCTCTCTTCTTTCTTTGACCAAAGTTTTTAGATACGATTATTCTCTCATAAGAAAAAAAATAAAATTAAGAGTTTTGATATCGAAGTGGTTGATTTATTTAGTATGTTGTTTACTGAATAGGACCCTCTTATAACATATCATAACTCATTAATTTAAAATTTGACCCAAGAAAGTGAAAACTAAAGACTAACTTGGATATATCAAAGTACTTATTGTATATTTATGTTTTTAGATGATTTATGCATTGAAATACCTATGTAATGATGTTTATATTATAGTTTAGTCTATTAGGATCTAAAAAGTGATATGAATATGATATACATATTCAACACAACACAGGCGTGTGAACACGACATTCCTCATAAAAGTAGTACATGGACATGTCAGGACATGTTACTAGTTCTACTATTTTTATATGTCTAAGTTGTATAAAGGATCACTCTGTAGATATAAATGTGTATTCTACGACACAAGAATTATTTTTACCAAAATGTTTACAACAATTTATTGACATGTCTTTCCAATTTCATATCCTATTTTTTAAAATTTTATTGTATCGATGTATCTGTATCATGGAGTATTCATATTCCGGATCCATATTTGTATCCATGCTTCTTTTCACAAGAGGTTGTAACATTTGAAGTGTAGAAGTTTTATTGGTTTAAGATGTTAGAGCTTGTCTCACTTGATAAAATAACACCTCCCAATTCTTATATGAGGCTTATGGGCTTTTACAACTCATTTCCAATTGGTTTGAATTAGATGCTTTGACACGGTATTAGAGTGATTGGATGATGTTCCTAGGTGAACTCTCCTAGTAGCGGCATCGTATGCAAGGATCATAATTTTGTTTTAATACATTGTTTCGATCAGCTCGAAAACGGAAACATTTTGAAAACAGAATGAATACAAAGAAATAAGTTCAAAATTTGTTTATGAAACATTGGTTGAAACATATCGAAACACTTCAAAACATTTTGAAATATAGGGATTTCGGTTCGTTTTGGTGGAAACGAAGGAAAATTTTAATCATTGTTTGCATGTCAGTTTCAGAATGGCCTCTTAGGATGACGATATTGCTATGTTCTGATAAAGGGGAGCTACTAGGCTTTGCTTCCATGGAATGTTGAAATGAGTGATCATTCGACCCTCAATAGAGTATAGTAAGATGCGGGGCAAGGTGTAGGCTCTTGATAGAGTGGAACGTTGTGACTCATAAAAATTTTGGAGAGTGGACGACAAAAGGATTGAGAAGCAATACTTGTGGAGAATGGTGGAGCATATTCAAGGGGAGTTAAAAGCCCGATGCATTCACCCATGAAGGGGAGATTGTTGGGATATCACGTGGGTTTATCCTAAATCGAAAGAAGCAAGAATCAAAAGAGGCTTAATAGACTATGAATGAACTAAATACCTATAGGTGTTAGATTTTCAATGGGTTTTGATTTTCAAACATGTATATTGGCCTTTGTTGTTGGGCCTCCTATCTCCCAACTTAAGAAAGGGGTAGAGGTTGAGTTTGTAATTGGCAAAGAGAAGCAATGCTTTGGTTCTATTCTGCATTGTTAATAGTAAGAAGTGTAGCTTTATGTTTTTGGATGCTTGAACTGATTCAAAAGGAGGAGGAATTGAGGTTACTAAATTAGGATTGAAAAGGGTTTACTAAATTAGGCTTTTTATGTGCCTTTTTGTCACAGGATCTTTTTGGTTGGATGCTTGCCTACCTTTCTTTCTTATTCATTTATTGCCCCTTAATTAATAATATGGTTTCTTGTAAAAAAAAAGGGTAGTTTTTAATATTGCATTGCATATTTAAAGGCGTAGAACAATAGAAAAACAAGAAGAAGAAGAAGAAGAAGAATCTGTGCATCAAATTTAGAGTTAGAACCGGACATGTATAACCTTTATGGTGATGCTAGGAGAAAGTAGAGGCTAAAATTAAAATGAAATGGGAGACTGGAGTATGGAAAGATATTGCGTTTTGTTTAATAGAGAGTATTGATCTTAATAGAATAGAGTGGTGAAATAGGATTCATACAAGTGATGTGAATGAGTTTAGAAAATACTTTGTTTAAATGAGTTGGCAATTCTCTAATCTCTTGAAATGAGAGAACTTTATAGATTTTCTAAATTACAGTATTTAGATTAGTGATATTCATATAAACCTAGGCCTTTACACCTATAATGATTCTCCCAATCCCTCCCCCCCTTCCCTTTTTCTGAAAAAAACTAGGGACGAAAAAATACTGGATCCCAATATGACACTTGGGTAATTACTACAAGTCATCTGGAGCAAATATGGAATTCCGAAATAGCTGTGTGGGCAACATTTGTGAAAATGCAAGTGGCTAAATAAGATAAGACTGCACTAAGGCTAGAACATAATAGTGCAACTCTCTCTTTCTTTTTCAATATATATATATATATAGTTTTTTTTGTGGAGGGTTTTGGAAGTGAACTAGATTTGGTGATTTCTCTATTCATTTTTGTTTCTTTTCATGAGCTTCTTCTGTATTCCATTAAGAACTCTAGTTTGTAGTCAGAACTGTGAGACCAAAAAGGTAAAATTAAATGTGTAGGTATTTATCAGGTGAAATTGTATTATCATGAAAGCTAATTCACTTTGTTCAGGGAAGTTCCATTTTTGAAAGTTATTTAATATTGATATGTGAACTGAAAATTTTTCTTCAGCAATCTTACCTGGCTGCTTCAGAAACGTCCAAACTTTATAGGCTGAGAGAATACTGAACCAAATTAACATCATTTTAATGGCCATTTTGTAATGTCTGAAGAATCTATTAATCTCCTTTCTCTTTGTTTTGCTTGTCAGACATAGCAGAGTTGCAGCAGGTGGCATTCATGCCAGCTGCAAATGGTACGCGCTTGGTGACAGCAAGCTCTCTTTTTGCGCGTCTGACAATAAATCTTTCCCCATTTGCATTTGAACTGCCTACTTTATATCTTCCTTTTGTGAAGATTCTAAAAGACTTGGGGCTTCAGGACATTTTGTCTGTTACTCATGCGAAAGATCTTCTTTCAAATCTTCAAAAAACTTGTGGATATCAACGCTTAAATCCAAATGAACTCCGTGCTGTGATGGAAATTTTGCATTATGTATGTAATAAATCCAATGAGGCAAACTCATCAAACAGCTCCTACTGGGAATCAGATGCGGTAGTCCCTGATGATGGCTGCAGACTTGTTCATGCCAAGTCATGTGTATACATTGATTCCTATGGCTCTCGATATGTCAAGTACATTGACACTTCCAGGCTAAGATTTGTCCACCAAAATCTTCCAGAGAGAATATCTATGGCCTTGGGCATCAAAAAGCTCTCTGCTGTGGTTGTAGAGGTATCAGGATCCGCAAAAAGTTTCCTCATTCAAATTCCTTTTTTAGGTCCCTTTCTGGATATGTGTACATTTTTGTATTGGTGTCACTATATGACATAATTCTGCTTCTATACGTAGGAACTGGAGCATGGGAAACATCTACAGCCTTTGGAATGCATTGGTTCAGTTCCACTAGCAGCCATCAGACAGAAGTTGTTAAGTAAATCATTCCAGGATGCAGTATGGAGTGTTGTCAATAGTGTAGCCACTGACATTCCTGCCTTTGATAATTCAGTTGTGGAAGATATATGCAGTTCATTGGACTCGGTTGCAGAAAGATTGCAGTTTGTTCGGAGCCTATATACTCGTTTTATTCTCCTACCAAAGTCTTTAGACATTACCCGTGTTGCCAAGGAATCCATTATTCCCGAGTGGGAGGGTGGATCCCTACATCGAGCTCTTTATTTTGTAGATCGTTTGAAGACTTGTATGTTGATTGCTGAACCACCAAGTTATATATCTGTTGTTGATGTTGTTGCAGTTGTTGTAAGCCAGGTTTTGGGTTCCCCAATCCCACTACCCATTGGATCTTTACTTCTATGTCCTGCGGACTCTGAGAGCTCACTTGCTGATGTCTTGAAACTTTGTTCTGATAAGAGAGCAACTGAGGGTGCCGGTGGGAGAAATGGTTTGGTAGGGAGGGAAATACTGCCCCAAGATGCTGTACAAGTGCAATTTCACCCATTAAGACCCTTTTATGCAGGAGAAATAGTGGCTTGGCGGTCTCAAAATGGAGACAAGTTGAAGTATGGTAGAGTCCCAGAGGATGTAAGACCAGCAGCGGGACAAGCACTCTACAGATTCAAGGTGGAAACATCACCAGGAGAGACCGAACTGCTTCTTTCCTCGCACATTTTCTCATTTAGAAGTATATCAATTGGCAACAGGACTTCTTCAGCAACTGTGCTGGATGGTGATCATAGAGTTACTGAAACCAGAATACTCGTCGAGGAGCCACAAGGTTCTGGAAGATTCAAATCAAAATTTTCTCAGGTACATGCTTTTCTGACTTGCTGATTTATCTAATTTGAATGGCTTGACGTGACAAATATCTGGCAGAGTATAGCAGTCTAATTGTTGCAGCCATGAGATAGTACATGCAATGTTGTACCATTGAACTGGACTTCTGTATCTTTCAATGTCTAAACTCCTGAATACTATTAAGTTCAGAAATAATTTTGGGATGGCGGAGTTGAAACAGAGACACACTCTCAGATTTAGCATGTTGCACTTTATAATAGCCGAATGGGCACTCGCTCGTGCACCAGTGCCCTTTGTACAGTCTTATCCCTTGAAATTTGTTTTGGCCATTTTGGGTATGTTGTTACTATATGCAGTACTTTGGGACATTGGTGGTTGATTCTTAGAGAGATTAATCGGGTTAATTATTGTTGGGAGTTGTCCAAATCTTTACTGGCTAATTATTCATTCAAGAGGCGGTTTGATTGTTGACGTTGGGGATACTTATTCTCATTTTCTGGTGCATATTCCATACAATAAGTGCTGATATTTATTGCTTGGAGCCCACTGAGATATTCTGTTATTCTCTTTGTATTCTTCAATTAGTAGAGCTTATGTATTAGGTCATCTTCTTCTTTACCTCCTCTTTTTTCTTGTTTTATTTTTTCCAGTGACCTTTTTTTCTTCCATTTAAAATTTTTAATTATGCTTATAAATATTATCTCCCAAATTTTGTGCACCTTCTGAAATTTTCAATTGTTAACATTCTTATGTAACCATTAAATAAGTCATACTTTTTAGATCGAAAATTTAACAAAATACTAATGAGGCTTCAAATTTGTTCATCTCTTGGATAATGTTTTTTTTATGAGTCCCCATTGCCCAACAAGCTTTGAGATACTATCCTAAAATTCTTTATTGGTTTATGGAATATTAGAACCAGTGTATGTATCTAAATACCATCACATATATGAATATATATTGAAATAGGAAGGCTGATGTAGTTGGGAAAAGCCTTAACTTAGAACAGGAAAATAGAAGCTTGTTGAGATTGTTTGTGTGAGTGAACAGTGTTTTTTTTTGGGTGCGCGTGGGTGGATTTGTTTTGGTGTAGTGGGTTATGGTTTAGAAATTGGAAAGGTGATGATTTACGAATGTCCAATCTGATAATTTTTAGATCCAAGAAAGCAAAGAGAAAGAGGAGGAAAAGAAGGAAGAAATATTATTATTGTGCTCTAACTTGCATTACATTGTTCTTGATAAAAGATGCAAAGAGAAACCCTCTTTAATAGGTTACTTATGATGTGGTAGGAGCAACATCAAAAGTTTGTGAAGAAGAAAACGAAAGCGTATAATAGTGAGAGACTTTGTAAAGAAGTCTGCCAACTGCATTGTAGAAGTAAGGAAGGGAAAAGAAATAGTGCCCATTTGAAGGTGATGACACACAAAATGGCAATCAATGTCAATATATTTTGTATGCTCATGAAATATTGAATTGCGGGCGATTTGAATTGTACTCATGTTGTCACAATACATTGGTGTAGGAACAGATAGAGATGCCAAGACCAGTAAGTAACCAACATAGCCACACTATCTTAGCTCTGGTGAAAGTCGTAGTACGATACTTGACCTCAGTAGAAGAATGAGCAATGAAGGTTTGATTTTTGCTCTTCGAGGAAATAATTGAATCACCGAGAAAGAGATAAAAGTCAGTAGTGGACTTGCGATCTATTGAGTTGCCAGCCCAGTTAACATTAGAGTAAGCCCTAAGGTCTAATGAAGAAGAAGAAAAAAAAAATAATAGACTTCAAATATACTGAAAAATGCGGAGAACATCGACCTAGTGAACAGAGTAGGTGAGACAACAAAATGACTAATTTGAATTGACAGCCCAGTCAAGTATTTCTGGTTTTCAGTATTTTTTAATCTTTGTTGATAATTTCTCTCGTATAACTTGGTTGTTTTTTATAAAAGATCAATCTGAATTGCCGAAGGGTTTTGCCACTTTTTATAATGAAATTCCGGCTCTGTTTGATACACGTATTGAAGTTTTTCAGTCTAACTACGCCTTTGAGTATACTCAATCATTTATGAATAAAACCTTTATGCTGACTATGACATTATTCATCAAACTACCTTTCTATATACCTCCCAACAAAATGGCGTTAGTAAATGTAAACATCGTGATTTGTTGAATGTTGCTTTCACCTTGATGTTTAACATGCATGTACCAAAATTATATTGGGTTGATACTATTGTTACTTCAATTTATCTTCTTAATCGCATGCCTTCTTCCTTTTTGTAAAACAAGTCTCTTTTCTTTTTGCTATATCCTAATACACCTCCATTTAGATTGACTTCTTGTGCCTTTGGCAGTGTTGCCTTTGTCCATCTGTTTGGTTCTAGTCGTGATAAATTGCCACCTTGCTTACTCAAGTGTATCTTTTTGAGATACTCTCGTACTCAGAAAGGTTGTTGAAGCTATGATCTTGTCTCTTGTCGCTACCATGGTACTACCAATGTTACCTTCTGAGTCATTTCCTTTTTTTTTCTGTGTTTGGCCGTAACCTTGTGCAGATTTGGTACTCCTTAGTTCAAGGGGAACTTTCGTTGCATCCTATTCTAGGTTTTATGCCTTCTTCTCAACCACTTTAGGTTTATCATTGCTCCAAGGATAGATAGGTTGTGCCAAGACCAATTTTTACTAGGGCGCAGCCTCTTGAGTCATCTATTACTCTATTGTCTTTTGATCTACCATTGCATTACGAGAAGGTCCTCGTAGTTGTACACAACATCATGTTTTTATTTTTTTCTCATTTCATTGAGTTTGTCATCTTTTCGTTGCTTTGCATCATTTTTATATTTTACGATCTCTTGGATGGATGAAGAAATAAAAGTTTTTCATAAGAATCAGACATGAGACCTCACTCCATTACCTCTTGGTAAGCAACCTGTTAGTTATTGGTGGGTGTATGTTGTGAAGTATCTTCCCAATGATTCTATTGACCACTTAAAGGCGCAATTGGTTGTCAAGGGCTGCACTTAGACATGTGGTGTGAATTATTGTGAGATTTTTTCTTGTGTTGCTTGTCTCAACTCTGTTAAGGGTTTTACTATTTATTGTAGTTAGTTTAGATTGGCCTTTATATAAAGTAATGCTTTTTTGTATAGGAATCTACAGGAGAAAGTACATATGGTTTAGCCATTAGGATATGTTATTTCTAAAAAGGAACATTGGTATATTGGCTGAGGAAAGAATTGTATGGTCTGAAGCGATCACGACGTGTTTTGATTAATAAATTTAGTGCAGTTGTATTTCAGAAAGACTTTTAACATTTTAATTTAGATCATTTTGTGTTTGCATGCAAATCCACCATAGGTGTCATTGTTCTCATTGTTTATGTCGAAGTTATTATTATCAATGGCAATGACGCCGCTAGTGTTGCCCATTTTGAGACCTATTTGGGATGACAATACCACACCAATGGCTTAGATCTCCTTCAATACTCTCTTGGCATTGAAGTAGCCCAATTGAAGGTATTAGTTTTTGCAACGGAAGTATGTTAGATTTACTCTCTGAAACTAGTACCCTTGGTGTACATCTTGTGATAGCCTAATGGATCCAACAGTTAAATTGGATGTTGATGGTGGAGATGTTTTTGCGAACATGGAGCATTATCAGAGGTTGGTTGGTAAGCTAACTTATTTCATAGTTACATGTCGTGACAGTACTTATATAGGTATTGTTAGTTAGTTTACGCATTCTGCTCGTAAACCTCATTGGGAAACTATGTCGTATTCTTCGGTATTAAAAGAGTGATAGGTAGAGGATTGGTATATCAGTCATCATTCTCCTTAACTGTCACTGGATTTTCTAATGTTGATTGGGTGAGCTGTTGTGGTAAACGGTCTATTTCTGGTAATTTTATATTTGTTAGTGGTAATCTTGTTATTTGTCGTAGTAAGAAACAAAATGTGGTGGCACGTTCTAGTGAGTCCAAATATCGTGTCATGACTAATATTGTAGGTAAGGTGTTTTGGGTTTATTTTCTAATTCATGAGATGGGTCTTGATCAAGGGCGAAACTACCCTTGGGCTAGGGTGGGCATATGCTCCCCTCAATTTTTTTTTCCTTCATATCATATATGAACTTTTTGAAATAAAATTTAGACATATTTAATTGTGTCTACCCTATTATTATGTTTTGATAATATCGATTTGAATAGACTCCTACCTAAATGATTGTTAACTTTTCGAACAATATTATTAAGACCTAATTTAAAGATTTAGTGCATTGTGATATTAATCTAATAGTGAGTCTCAATATTTAATAAACTCCATTATCTATCAAATGGTTACAAACCATTGGGTCTCCACCAATTAAATCTCAAATTAGATACGCCTAATATTATTGTTAACTTTTAGACACCATTCAAACATATCCGAATATGTTTTGAATATATTGAGGTTTTGTTATAATTTTTTAAAATTGTAGAGTTATTTCATTATTGTATAAAAATGTATGTTGTTATATAGTAAACTATAAGATCATAAATGAAAGATTGTTACTACGATTTTATATATAAAAGAAGTATTGTTGATAAGATTGATTTGTTACTCTATCAAATAATAAAAACATATTAGGGTCAATTGTAAGTGATAATAATTAATCTCATTCTTAATAAAAAAAATTAATTATTATTTTTTGTTCATGTTATCGAATTGATTTTTAATTTTCTATGTTTACTGAATTTTTAAGTATTAAATATAATTTTAATAAATATAAATTTATGAATTTCAATGGTCAATTGAAAAAAAAAATTAAAACAAATTAACATACTCACCCTGAAACTCTTTTCTGGCTCTGCCCCTGGTCCTAATGTGTCATATCCTATGTAGATGCATTACGACAACTAGACAACCATTTTTTTAACCAGCAATCTATTGTTTGATGAGCGTACCAAACACATCAAAATTGATTGTTATTTTCTTTGGGATCTCTTATGCGAAAGGAGATTATCACTGTGTTCTTA